AGCCCACTCTCATCTGGACCAGTCAGGCAGCACTTTGAGGGTCATGTTCTTTGATTTCTCAAGTGCCTTCAATACTATTCAGCTTGCTTTACTATGTGAGAAGCTCCATAACTTCCAGGTGGATCCTTCCACAACCACCTGGATTTATGACTACCTAACAAACAGACCACAGTTTGTGAGACTGAAAGGTTGTGTGTCTGAGATGGTAGTCAGCAGCACTGGAGCACCACAAGGAACTGTACTCTCACCATTCCTCTTCATACTGTACACCTCAGACTTCCAGTACAACTCTGAGTCCTGTCATCTGCAGAAGTACTCTGATGACTCTGCAGTTGTGGGGTGTATCAGTGATGGACAAGAAGCTGAGTACAGGGAACTGGTCAGTCAGTTTGTGAAATGGTGTAGTAACAATCACCTCATCTTAAATACCAGCAAGACTAAAGAGATGATTGTTGACTTCAGGAGGAGCAAGAATAAGCAGCATAGTCTTGTCTACATCCTTGGAGAGGAGGTGGAGGTGGTGGAGAATTACAAATATCTTGGAGTTCAGCTGGACAACAGACTAGACTAGAAATGCAATACTGACTACATCTACAAGAAAGGTCAGAGCAGACTCTACTTCTTAAGGAAGCTGAGACCATTCAGTGTCTCCACAAAGATGTTGCAGATCTTCTATAAGTCTGTTGTGGAAAGTGCAATCAGCTTTGCAGCCATCTGCTGGGGCAGTAGCATCAGAACCAGAGACTTAAAGAAACTAAACAAGCTGATCAAGAAAGGTGGTTCTGTGCTGGGGATAACTCTGGAACCACTGGAGCTGATTGTTCAAAAAAGAATGCTGCACAAGATGATGAAGATGATGGAGGATTCTTCCCACCCTCTCCACAACACAATGAAGAATCAACAGTGTGTTCAGTGGGAGGCTGCGTCAGTTTCGCTGTAGAACGGAGAGATACAGAAATTCATTCCTGCCAACAGCCATCATCTTGAAAAACAAATCTGACTGACAATTGACTGGCTGAATGATTATTGTTGTATAAAATATGTTATAACAAAAAAAAGTGAGTTTTTACAATATTGAATTTCCCTTCTGGGATAAAGTATTTTTCATTTCATTAGTTCAGATAATTATCAGTCTGCGTTACCAATCTTTTGGAAGATGCTCCAAGACGGACATCCCTCCCTTTGTCCATAGTGGGAAGAATTAATAGGATCAACAGGAATGTTTGAGCTGATTGTAGATATGGCCTGCCCTGGTTACACATTTAATTGTTATCTTCAAAAGAACTGCCACTAGATAGCGTTCATGCTCAGCATCCTGTAAGAAATTAATGAAAAGTAGAGTTAAGCCTTTGAACAACATTGCCTACTAGTACAGAGCACATAAACATCAGGGACATCTCCCCATGTTGCCAAGCTTCTTCCCTATCTGGGGCAATGACTGCTTCATACCTGCTGAATGAGGTCTGAGGTTGAAAACATGGTTCAGTAAGGGTACAGTTACATCAATGAGTCTCTATAGATTGATGTGGACAATTTAAAAATTGAGTATGGTGTGCCACAGACTTTCTTCACTATATTTTTGTTGAAAAATAAAAGACAAGAAATCTCAGTTGCCATATACAGTGAATACAGAGTCAATGACATTAATACCCAGAAAATGACAAATATGAAAATGTGCCATTTCCTTTTGTGTCCCTTTCCTATTTTTTGTATGTAAAAATAAATAGACAAGTGTAGCATTGTACATCACAAGTTGGGAAAAATTTCAAGTAAATATTTATGAAAAACAAAACAAAAACACTAACATCCACACCAAGGTGTGGTAGCCCTGGCAGCTGAAACCTGAATATATTCTACACAATATCTGGCATATAATGTTTAGCATATTTCTCCAAAGTAAATCCAGTGTTTAACAAATAGGTCCATCTTTAAATTTACTGTGAAGGTGATCTTTTCCATTCCGTTTATTTGAGCCCAGTCCTGGATGGTTGTTCACTCTGCACCCTCCTGTTACGGACTGGTTCAGAGACTCAAACGCTAGGCAACAGGACACGGCAGACAGGCAGTTTATAAACAATGATTTATTGAACACACAGAAGATAAGTACAGAACTCAAAGGTTTGCAGGCAGGGCAAACTAAACTAGGTTGGCTGAAACAAAAGAACTAAAGACACGGACCCAAGCTCAGTACCACCGAGTCGGAAACCGAGAAACCAAAACTGAACTAAACAGAGGAACAACTAAAGGAGGACACCATAAGGTGCTAACGAGGAAACTCAAACAGAAAAGGCTAGCAGACCAAAAAGCTATCTAATCAAGCTAGCGCTACGCACAGACTGGCGGACTTATCCTGAACTGGGTGATACAGGACATACAGACAGGCAGACTAAAGACGTCTCAGAAGCTAACGCTACATACAGACAGAATAAAAGCACTATACAGATTTACACGACATACGGACGGGCAGACTATAAAGATTGTCTTAAGGCTAGCGCTACATAAGACGGGCTGAGTACTGACGCTCAGTAGGAATGCTAAGTTTATCAGGCTAGCAAAAACCACACCGGGAGAACCAGACCTGACAAGAGCCGACCGAGTAGAGAGGGGGAACAGGGAGGGTAGGTGGTGCAGAGGGGTCGGCGTTGCCGCGGCTGCGGTGGAGAGGCGGACTAAGACCGGGAGCAGACGCCAGGGAATCCAGAGAGAGGAAGGTGGAGCGGAGGGATCAGCGTGGCCGCGGCTGCGGTGGAGAGGCAGGCGGAGACCGGGAGCGGACGCCAGGGAGTGAAAGGTGAGCGGAGCTGGTGCTGGTGAGCTGACGGAGCCGTAGTGGTGGAGCGGCGTCGGGACTGACGGGTGGACAAGAGCGGGCAGGTGACATGTGGAGAATCCGGTTCCTAATGTCAGGAGTCGCCGGCTGACGGAGTGGCTGATGATCCGGGCTGCAGACGGAAAAGGCAAAGTTAGATTGCGGCTGACAAGAAAAGAAGCTGCGAATAAACAATCTGGGTCAGCAACTGACTGAGGACTGTTCACGGTCCGGCGACGAATAGTGGCCTGGTCGTGGCTTAAATGCTGGTCTCATGATGAGACGCAGCTGCGGCAAACGCACATTAGCGTAATCAGCGGATTGAGATCACCTTCCCGCTCTCTTCATGCACATCACCAGCTCACGCCCACCTAGTTAGAGGAGAGGGAGAGAGAGAAAGGAGGAAAAAAGGGAGAGAGAGAAAGGACTGCCGCTACCTGGCCCTAGCGGCAGCGGGCGTGACACCTCCACTTTTTTGTCATGGCTTTTGTGCCTGCTGCCAAAAGTATATTCGTATGTCCATCTATTGTGTGCCAAGGACTTTTTCAGTCATTTACAACTTAGACATTATGATGATGAGTTAAAGAATTCAGTGCAGCAACCTCCAAAGTCAATCCTAGAGGTGTTCTCCTCAGGCAGCGGCTTGGACAAAGGCTGGGCCACATAGTGATGGAAACCATGAAGACAGTTCAGAAATAAGAGACATTTATAGGAATGTGTATGTAACCCTACTTTGACAGGTGCACCATTTGTTGGTCATGTTGCTCCTCCACACCTTCAATCTGCACTCTGTATAATCTGTTTAAATGTCAATATCAATATTCTGTAAATAATACTACAGTTTATGGTTTAAATTTTACTTTAATTCTTCACTCCACAATATTTTTTGCTTCTGCTTTGCATCATTAAAGTTATTTGTAATTACTTTTTTGTTTGTTTTTTCAAAGTTATTTTTTTTATATTTTTATCTTGTCCATTGGACCTTACTCTATATGTATTGTTGCACCAACCCACCAGAACTAATTCCTCTTATTGTGTAAGCTATATCTGGCAATAAGTCTGTCTCTGATCTGATTTTTTCAGGCACTTTACTGGATATCAGTGCACATTTGGCATTTATCCTGACAGCTGTTGTTTTTCTAGAAGAGGCAGAACCTGTCCAGGACCAGCCAGAGAAGGGTCTCATTTAGCAGATCAAGGTTCAAGGTTCAACGGTGTTATTGTCATTAGCACTGTGCATTTTCATACGCAAGAGAACGACATTCCGTTTCTGATCAGTGACTGCAGTGCAACGGAAGCATCAGTAAAACAAGAGAAATTAAACAGATCAACAGGTTAACGGATCAGTACTAAACATATGACACATAAACGAGCTGCTCTACTCTCCATCAGACCTACTGTGGCATTAGAAACCTTAACTTGATGCAGCCGGACAGACACCGCTCCGGTCCCGTTGACGTGCTCCTGACGTACCGAGCAGCGCCGCTGCGTCTCCACCTGGATCATTCAGTGCCGCATCCGCCGCGTACCGACACTCCGGACCGAGGCTCCGGACTGAAGCGTGCCAGACGCGACCCACGACACGTCCGTCCGGCGGCTCAAGGCTTCCCTCCTCCACGTTCACCCGGGGGCTGGACACGGGGGAGACCGCGCTGCTGGCCGCTGGCGGAAGGAGCGGCGGCTCGCGCATCTGTTGCCTGGGTGAATCCATTAACGCGTTAGCATCCAGCTAGCGGCTACGTTTACGGGTCCCTGGCGTATTAACGGACTTTACGTCGACAGTCACGGATGTCATCTCTCGTTTCGAGTCGACGGGGCTCGGGATGAATACTGACTAAACACCGGGTCCGGTCACAGGGCGATCTATTCCGTCGGGAGCAGGAGATGCACCTGAGAGGTGCGGGAACGGCTTCATGTGGGGCTAACTAGGAGCTAGCAGGCTAGCTTCATGGAGCCACGGCGGTAGAATGCGGTTGCCGCGAGACGTAGCTGCGCTGCTAGCTAACATGGACGCTTTGTTTCACATGAATACCATGGTTCTGCTGCGTCCCACAGCCTGCTAGAGGCCGACGTGACAATGGAGTCTTTCCTGCAGATAGCGCCCCACTCCTTGGCCATCGTCCTGTCCAGGGTCGGGGCTGGGGAGGCGCTGGGGGCGGCCCGGGTGTCCGAGAGCGACGAGCTGCCCAGACACCACACCGGCTACGAGATTTTCGCCGATTTCAAAGCAGAAAACACGCAGCAGCACGTTTGGAACCAGCGGATTACCGAGGCCGTGTCCGAGACCTTCTTCCTGGGATGGATAGACGAGCATGTGCTTCTCATCCAGGGGAAGGAGGACCACCTGGAGGTGCTGAGGGAGGGATGGATGCGGAGGTCCCTCAATCCGCCGCGGGGATTCACCATCAAGTACCTGGGTAAGGCCTCCACAGCCCACCGGGCTCACACAGCTGGTGCTGCTCAGTCCAGTCATCACTGCTTTGGGACTCTGCTGTGTCCTCATTAATCAGATAGAATCCAGTGGTTTGGGTCTCAGTGAACATTTCCATGTCTCTAAATCCTCCAGATTTAAATGTGCACCAGATGATCTGCTGAGTTTCATTTGTTTTACTCCAACACATGCTCAGATCTGGACTGTTTATTGCAATGAAACAATTAATGCAGAAACTGGAATGAGGGTTCAGACGGTGTGACCTGTTTGTGATCCTCAGTCACAGGTGTTGCAGTGATATAGGTAGAGGAGGAGCTTCCAAGGCCTGACAGCAGGTACATAGTGGTGTTGGACCTGACCATAGAAACAGCACTGGCTCCTGTGTCATTAGTATCGGTACCAGCCTGTGTGTGTGTGTGTGTGTGCTGCTCACCTCTCCAGCATGACTGCACATTCAAACGCTGATGCTGAGTGTCCACGGCTGGTGGAGAAGGCAGATGCATGAAATGAAACGTGGAAGTATGTCACTGAAGAGGGAAAGCCTGTGTGAAGCCACGAAGCCTGTTGTGAAGTTGTGGGGGGGGGGCAGAGTCAGGGCCTCCAGACCGGTGGAGCATCGCACCGACACATTCAAACGTCAGAGAGCACCGTTAGCCAATGTGATAAGTAATATAAGTCACAGGAGTGATTGGGTTGGTAACAAGTGAACAGTTTCCACAGTTTTTAATGATAGTTTCTAATGAGCAATGATAGTTGTTGAACTGGGCTGTACTCACCAGGATGGACGCTGTGTCTCTGTGTACCAGCCTTCATCCTGCTTACACTGACCTAATCAGAGCTCACAGCTGCTGAAAGTCAGTCGGTCACAGTATGCACATTAGCAGCACCACTTCTAATCGTCAGTCTGCTCAGTCGTTAACATGACCACGCCATTTTAATTACTACCAAATTGTCAGTGAAGACTTGAGAATGTGTGTTCAGTCTGTTAAACACTGTTCAATAAGGGAGACCTGGTTGGTTAGAATAAAACCGATGATTCATGTATAGGGGCCTCATATTACTGCGTACTATAACACGATTAATGTTCTAAATGTACTAATTGGTTGTCAAAACATACCTTACTATATATGAGAAAGGAAACAAGACAACATTTAACAATACAGAAACTACAGTTATTGAGCATGAACACAGTAAACATAATGTCTGACTGTAGGTCTGGACTGAATGAAGCTCAGACCAGATCATCAGCCTACTACAGCACACTAAAGGAGACCAGACACTGAAGTCTCTCCACAGCTTTGTACTCTGATAGCAGATTCTAATCTTCTATTCAGTCAAATTACTTTTTTATTCAAAGTTAAATGAACAACAGCAGGCTGTCCCAAAGATGTCTCAGGGTTTTGCTGTGGTGTCATTTCAGCTTCAAGTGTGGATTTATTTCGGCAGGTGTTGTATCCAAGTCAACATTCTGGTATCATGACAACACTGTAGGAGCCATATGCAGGACATGTGTGCCCTGGTACTGGTTGATGGGCATGTCACTGTTGGTTTGATGATTGGGGTGCACTCACCTGGGCACAGGCTGGCATTCAGAAGCATGGAGGCAGGGAGAGTGTGTGGTGATCACTTTTGTTGACCGTAGTTTCTTTCTGCTCTTTCATTTGTAGTTTCTAACCATTTCTTTGCACAGTTTTACATGTTTAGCAACAGTCAGCTTGTTTGTTTGTTCGTTATTTACATTGCATGGGCAGAAATGCCATGAGATTGTAACAAAGCCAAATAAACAGAACAACATGAAGTGCATTGGATGTTTGGTCTCCACCTGTTGAGCCTGCCACGGCTTTGTGAGGTTAGTCTGGTCGACTGACAATTAGCCGCAATAAACACTATTTCTTAGCAATATATTTGTTAAACTCAGCTCAGTGGCCATTGGTGTATGAATGTGTGTGTGAATGTATGTGTGAATGTATGAATGAGAAACACATTGTGAAGTGCTTTGGATAAAGCAGCTATATAAGTGCAGACCATTTACCATTTACTTGTGGCTGTACTAGCTGTTGATGTGTCATAAGGCTAAATGCCTTATGGATGGAAGAAAAATGGAAGAGAAGGACGTAGACCTTACCTGAAGCCTGCTGAGCTTCATTCATGTGTGGTTGCACCACTCTTTCCTTGTAGGAACGCTTGATGTACTGATTGGTCAGAGTGGGACCCAGTGTCACCAACCTGCACTGAACTTAGCACCGGCTCACTAATAGTTACAGACATTAACCAACCAAAATAAATTCTGGGGACAAATATCAGTCATTGTTCATCACAGAATCAAAGAAAGGTGTCTCAGGTTATTCTGCTGCAGCACACAACTCTGTCATCTGACGTCTACCAGGATCGTATGAGGCACTGCCCACACTAAGACACATGCTTTTCTACACAGATGTGTCCCCCCTGTTTTGGTTTTTAATTCAACAATCAACATGGTTTTACAGAATATCTCGCTCTAACAAGCATGCCATGCTAGTCTATAGTGGGTCACGTGAGAGAACACTGGGTCATGTCTGGCAACAAGCTGTGGATGCTGCTAACTGAGTAACACTGGGCACCGCCACAGAGTGGTTTGGTGCCAGTGAAGAGGAGCAGCAATGCCAAGTTAAGCTTTTACTTGTTCGTGCTAACCAAATGAAAGGAAATAGGAATACATACAGCCATTGGTGATGTTTCAGGGACATGCTTCTCACACAACAGTAGTGGGCATGTGTCCCCATAGTTACACATGTGTCTGACTTTTTAAAAAACTGCACCTAAAAAAAATGTTTGCCTGACCTGAAATGTTGTTTCAAGGACGAGAACCTGAACATATTTCATGAGAACCTATACAATTCATATCAACATGAGTCTAAACAGTTATTTGCTGTAGTGTTAGTGTGTGACATTGAAACACCCGCACAGGGACCATGAGAACTGCCACCGGCGGCTGTGGCTCAGGTGGTAGAGCGATTGTCCTCCAATTCCAAGGTTGGTGGTTCAATCCCCTCTACAGTGGAAGTGTCCTTGGGTAAGAACCTGAAACACCTTGCATGGCAGTTCTGTGGCTGTTGGTGTATGAATGTGTGTGAATGAGAAACACGTTGTAAAGCACTTTGAAAAGCGTAGAAGGGTAGAAAAGCGCTATATAAGTGCAAACCATTTACCGTTTACCACCAAATTGCATGTGTTTCAACATTTTTAAACTTCTGAATGCTGGTCCCTGGTGACCCCACACTGCAACAATGACAGCCTTAGAAAGAATGACAACACAAGTTGCACTTGTCTTCATCAAGCTAAATAAATTAACTAGTGAATTGAGAACAACTCAGACAGAATACTGTTAATGATTAGAACAGCTCAAATACTGTGGAGAGGACTTGCATCGTCTTTGGCTTTTGCAGAGGCAGCTGCTAAATAATGAATCCAGTAACCGAAATGCCGGCGCTGCACCGGAGCCAAGCCACACGTCAATAACTAAGGCAACTAGTGTAAATGCTAACTACCTACATCTACAGTCAATGCTTCTTTTGGTTTGTTGTTCACTGTGCTGTCTTCTTTTTACAAAATACGTTACAACTTTAAATTGGGACGCAAATTTTAAATCATTTCTTTAACCAACATTTAGGGTTTTTTTTTTTAGACATATGCTGACAAAACAGTTTCTAACCACTGACAGTTAATGTTTACTGCGAAATAACCACCAATTTACTTAAATTCTAGATTGAAAAAAAAAGAGACTTGATTTAAAACTGATTTTCAGCAAGTAGCCAGATAAATTTGGAAGTATTACGTATGGAAAATCTGCAGCAGTAAATAACCTGAAACCAGGGCCACAGACTGCGACCCAAATAGTTGCATATATGACCTTTTTTTGAGAGTGTTGCAAGTTAAAATGTCATGTAGTTGCAGTGTGCCAGTGAACGACAATCATCAGGCTGATCTGGTTCCTTCTGTCAGCACAGGTAGCTGCTGCTCCAGTTATTGTGGTTGGAAATATTCATATTTCTTCCACATTGACTCAGTCTCTCTCTGTCTGAGGGTAAAACAGTCAGTTTCACTGTTACTGTGTTCCAATGATAAAACGATGTATAGCCAATTATGTTAAAAAAACGAAAACACAGCAAGGTGAGAGAGGTCCGACACACCTGATGATGAAAGTGTTCAGGTGCAGGCAGACAGATCTCGACTGAGTCGGTCAGGAAGAAAAAGTAGCCCCACATTCAATCTGGAAGGTCCACATGTCAACAACCATCACAGTTCTGACTATATGAACAGGATGGCCAGTGGTCTGGACATTTAAAATGCACTCAGCTCGTAGAATCGTATCTTCATAAAGAATAATAGAAAACTTTGTAACTTGAGCAAATTTGTGTAGAACACGTTTTCCAACAAATGTCTGGTCGCTCACCTGTCAGAGGAGATGCACTGCTGCACCTGGTAGCATCTACTGGAGCAGCATGTGAGGTGTTCAGGGAACATCTGTAAAATATAGCATCTAGTGGAGCAGCGTGTGAGGCGCTCAGGGAACATCGGTAAAATGTAGCATCTACTGGAGCAGCGTGTGAGGCGTTCAGGGAACATCGGTAAAATGCACCATCTACCCATGGGCATTTTCAGCAATTGTTTAGCCTGTGTCCAGTTAATGACTGATATTAGAAGGGGATTTGTGACAAAATAAATGTTTTTTTTTCAGATTAAAACATTTGACAAATATCAAGTCTTGTATCACTGAAGATCATTGCAACATGATTAGATTATACATAAACAACTTTTCATCAGCTGCATGGTGCATTAATAGCTGTAGCAATGCTGAACCAAAATATGGGAGTAGGGTGACCAAATCATTAGCTGGTGTGACCAATACAGAAAGCTGGTAGCACCAGTGCTACCATTGGAAAAGCTAGTCTGCAGAGCTGGTGACATCTACACTTTGTTTTTGCTTCCATTTTTCATGAGCTGAAA